ACACACACTTATCTCTCCCCACCCCCTCTCTCTCTACTACCTCCCCACACCCATCTCTATCTCTCTATATATTTTTATATATATATATATATATATATATATATATATATATATATATATATATATATATATATATATATATATATATATATATATATATATATATTATATATATATATAGTTGATTGTTGCCGATTTGTATTTTTTGCAGTCAGTGGTTGATGTATTGGATTTTCAATATGCTGAACCGGATGTTCTTGTGCATTATGTTCCATCAATTCTAGAGCGCTTTGGCGAGATGGGAACGAGGTGCAACTGTGCTCTTAAGGCTCTCTGCAAAAAGAAAGGATTCCATGTCGAGGTAATTTTGATACGTATACGAAATACCTCCAAAATATAGAACACCACCCCAAGTTTCCAAATTATTAGCATCAATTTCTTTTTAAAGAGAATGAAATACTAGGGGTAAATTACACCCATCCCTGAGGTAGGCTAAAATAATTTTAAGGTCCCTGTGGTATCGAATTACACTCATGACTCACCCCTTAAACATAGTTAGAAACTCTAATAAGATAATACATTGAATACGTTAACTTCAGGATGTGGTGGAAACAACAAAGAGCTATGGGTGATTTAAGAAATGTTGGGGAGCCATGTCACCCCTAACTCTATGTTGTCTCCACCACTAGCTAAAAATAATAGTCCGTTAGAACTCTATCGGAATACGTATCAAATGCATTATCCCATTAGAGTTTCTAACTATGTTTTTAGGGGGGTGAGTGTAATTATTGATACCACAGGATCCTTAAAGTTATATAAGCATACCTCAGGGTGTGGGTGTTATTTACCGGATATACTATTATAAATAAAGGACAAGGCCGTTTTACATGGAATTGTCTCTAGTGACTATCAGAAATATAAGATGTTTGATGTTTCACATTCTTATGTAGATCTTCTATTCCGTATATACCTTTTGCTTCCAAATGCCGTTAGCCTCCAATCTGTAGGTGGTGTTTGCAAAAGTTTTTAGAAACAAACATATTATGAGCCTTTTCTTTTAGGTGTTTGCAAAATCAGTTTTTGCTTTTGGTTCTCTTAAAATAAGCTGCTTTAAGCTATAATTTGAGAAGCACCCGTATACCCGCTTTTTCAGTTTAAGTTAATTTTTCAGCGTATTTGCTAACACCCCCAACTTTTGAAAATAAACACCTAACACTAACTTAACTCACAATCACTGACTTCTATTTTTTAATAAGTCTTTGCAAACACCACCTTAGTGATACATCTTAACATCTCAGATTGTTAAATCCAAGATTGATCCTTTTGTAGGGAGCACGTTTAATTGGAGTTGACAGTCTTGGCATGGATGTTAGGGTTTCTTCTGGAACAGAAGTACGGACACATCGTTTTTCTTTCAAAGTCCAGGTTAGTGAACAAAGTATATGCCATTCACATATAATGTAATACCCCATCAGTTCCACAATATATGTTATTTTTTTAAATATTTTTTATGTTCCATATTATCTGTCACTTTTGAATTTCAATGTGGCATTAGTTGCATATTTGTCAATTCTTCATTATTAACTCTCCATCATTTCCAACATTAATTAGTAAACAAAGGTATTTTGGTTCGAACAAATATCTATTTTTGTAAAATGAAGATATATTTATTGAGATTATTAAGAGTTAAGAGTTGTGCAAAGGTGAAAAACAACACTCGAAGGAACTGAGGGAGTAACATTTGTCTTCAACATCAACACACATTGTATTTTTTAATGTCTTTGTCTTGTGCAGGTGAAATCAGAGTGTGCTGCAGACAAACAAATCCAACAACTCTTGTTTCCAAGGTCAAGGCGGAAAAAGTTAAGGACTCTTGATCGACATTCTGACATTGACTCATTTTGATACGAATTTATTCTCTATAGGTTGGAATAAAAGTATACCCCAAAGTGTTGGGTTTAAGATCTCCTAACTCGCCTTTGCTCCCATATTCCCATCCCGTTCCCAATTTTGCAACACAAAATCTAACTCACATATTTTTACGTGATTTGTACATACTAAAATAGTTTTGTTATTTCATAATTTAGTTTACTAATAATATTATGGGTACATTTGATATACATCACTAATAAGGGAAATATATAGGGGAAATATATAGGGCTAGGTTCACCCCTAAAGTTCTTTCTTTGAGATACTCGAAGAGGCAAAAAGACTATATTGCCCTTAAATTCTGCATTTCCACCAACTGCATTCAACATTTCCACCAACTACATTTAGCATTTTATGTATTACATTTATCATTTTCGTATTTTTAATTTTAATAAAAAGTTATATATATATATATATATATATATATATATATATATATATATATATATATTTATTAATTCAAAATTTGATTAATATAGTGTACTGAAATCGCTACACATGACTATAGTATATATACTTCAAGTTCTATAGTCATGTATACATGTACTATCTTTTTACACCAAAGTTATGGTCGACCGATTATATAGAACGTTGATTATAAACAAAAAAAAGTTAATACACGTGATTATATATAACTACATGTATATAACCACATGTGATTATATATGATTAATATGACTGTTGGCGCCAGATTTCTGTTAGTGAAGATTGAAGAAATCCGCCATACGTGGAAATTAAAGATTGGCAAAGATTTGTTCTCCATGTTTATTTTGGAATTAATTAGAGTCATATTATTGTAATATTGTTATTAAGACTTAGATTTATTTCCATGTATTATATTCTAGTTAGGGCTCAAGTTAGGTTTAGGGTAGTGAATTTCGTGCCTATAGCTTTAATAAGAAAAATCCCAGCATAAAGGCTTTGAAGGGTGCAGCCCGTGTTGCAGCCTATCGGCACATCAGGTGTGGCAAAAGGACGGGTTTCTTCTACTAGGCCATAAAAAAGATCGACGTTTCGGGAGAAGTGTTTAAAAGATACCAGGAGAGGTCGATCCGCCGTTTGAAGAGAGTTCAACATTAGAAGGAGTCCAAGAGTGCGGATGGAGGAATTGCTTTGATTATCAACAAGTTCGAGTCGTGTGCAAGAACGGCGTAACATAAAGAGGGAGTCTTTAGTGTTTTATTAAGTCCTATTAATGTACTTTGTAAATCTGAACTAGTTTGCAAGTCCTCGTGGATGTAGGGTACGTTTGTATCCGAACCACATTAAATTCTTGTGTTTTTTATTCTGCTTTTAGTAGGTTACTTACTGTGACAACACAAGAATTCTGTTACCACACCTAATGTCGTAACAAGTAGTCCGTCTCAATAGAACGAGTGGATTTTCATAGGCACATAAATCTACAATGACCACGTGAGTATATATGACTACATGTATATGACCACATGTGACTATATATGATTAATATGACCACGTGTGACTATGTGTATAGTCATATATAGGTGGTGTTCGCAAAAGCTTATAAAAATAGATTATGAGCTTTTTTCTGCGTACAATCTTTTTTTAGGTGTTTGCAAAACAAACTTTTGCTTTTGCTTCTCTTAAAATAAGCTGCTTTAAACTATAATTTTACAAGCAGTACCCGCCTTTTCAGTTTTAGTTGATTTTCCAACTAATTTGCAAACACCTCAACTTCTAAAAATAAGCACTTAATTCCAACTTAAATCACAATCACCAACTTCTGCTTGTACATAAGCTTTTGCAAACACCATCATAGTGTAGTTTGTAGTTTACAGCTTCAAATCCCACTTTTCAACATGACAGCAACTACAATTTATCGGTTGCAACAGAATTTTTTTGAATTGCGAATAACATGTCCTCTCCGCAAAAAAACTCCTTTAAATTGAAGATTGCATTTTACAACACACAAATACCAGCAATATTTAATATACAAATCTCACAATCGCAAATTATCTAAAAATCCTTCCAATAACAACCAATTACAGAGATACGGATCAATAGTGCCACCACAATAAAAACAAGGTGGATACAATCAACAAAATAAAACAAAAATTAGCAAATCAACATACAAACACTTTTGCTTTCGCCACAGAAGGCCTTGCCTTTTCAATGCTGACTAGAATTAAAGAGGTTGAGTTCCAAAAAATGAACCAGACATATTTCTCCCAAGGTTGTTCCGATTAGCAATTAACGAAACGGTGTCATTGTCGTACTCATTATCGTACCCATCGGCATTTCCTTGAATTTAAATTCAATTCCTGTAATTAGATACCTATACTTGAAATAACAGAGAGGGGAAGCGTAGTGTAATTATTTCATAACAAATTTGATTCTCGTTGATTAATTACCTTTGATGGAACCGATTTGTTGGGCGTTACTAACGACATGTATGACTTCGGGGCAATGCCATCGCCGGGGAGGAGAGTGAGGGTATAGCTTTTCGACAGTGTTGCGGCGACGCATCGAACGGAGGAGAATTTGGGAGAGGGTTTTGATGCAGAATTAGGGTTGAGTAATTGGGGTTTAAGGGGTTTGAAGCTGAGTTGCAGAGGGATGGAAGATAACAAGAGTTGAGAGAGAGAAGAGAAACGCAATATGGTTAGGTCGTGGGGTTAAGGCATGTATTGAATTGAAACAAAAAGGGCAACACATGTACTTTAAGTTGCGCAGGGGGTCTACCAAATTAAAACCAAAATTTGGATTTTTGATCCTAGGGCAGAAAAATCCATAGGACCTCATATAAATTTTCAGAAATATGGGTATCACATATATACCCTAATATTATATTCAAATATGGATATTTTTCTGATACTTTCTTTCGTACTATTAGTATTCTTTCATACTAGGACGGGCTTTTTGTGAGGAGGTCCTTCACCAACCATCTTAATTATTCCAAGTTTAGGTGTTATATCTCTTTCGTCAATAAGCCTATCCCTTTAGCATAAAGTGGAGAATTTCCTTGAAAAAACAAAGAAAAAGATTTTGGAAAAAAGAAGGAGAAAGTACAGATAAATCCCCAAACCAAAACTTAAAACGCGGATCAGTCCCTATAGACGTTCCATAGGCATATATGTCCCTAATGTAAAGTTTCACATGCAGTTCATGTTAGAGTAGGTGACCAACAAGCCAACTTGTGGCTGTGGTCTTTTCATTTATTCTTGTAATAAATAATCATTTTTCGTATTAATAATAAAACACCTTGGCATTCTATATCTTTGTCCCTCGTACAAATATAGATATATGCAATTATTAATATTACAATTACTTATAATTGATTATTAGGATCGTGATATATTTACTTAAGTATTATAACTGTTAAACCGTGTTCCCAGTCGTATGGTTACGCCACCAATGAGGATATCGGCATTTCCCATTAAGAGACTAGCACTTAGTGTATGTGTACTGCGTCTCATCAGTAAACGATATTGTGATATCGGCATACATAAGTGAGTGCTCATAAGTTGACGAGTTCACTGAACTCCCTCATCCTAGATATCTTTATGTGGTTCTCAATAATCGAGTAGAGATCTCTATGATATTGTTGTACACCATTAGTCTTTAAGACCCAGACATCACCGTGACTTCGCTAGAGGACCAGCTGTATCGTGACATGTCCCTGAGTTCCACCGAGGACCGCCCCAAGGGTCACTGTTCGTGCAGTCCGAAATCTAGTGGGATGTCTGTGCATTGTAGTCGGTGATTCCATTGCTAGAACAGTCTTGGATGTTCTGTGTCTTCTCATAGTTTGTAATCTTTAAGTCTCTGGCCAGAGCTGACTAAGTGATGATTAGAGAATTTGATTCTCTAAGTCATGCACGTACCGATTATAACACTTAGAACTATCACACAATTATTGAACTATAAAAGAGGTCTCGATAAACCAATGCTTCTAGTTCAATCCGGACATACGTATCGAAGGGATTGTAGTGTACGTTAACTATATCACACCGTTCTTGCAGGTACTTCATTTGTATCTAGGGAATCGTGATGCGTAGTTGCTAGACGACAATCTTGATTCGTTGGGTGATTAAGTTGAAACAAGCTTCATCTTAATTATAACTCTGGGGACGAGTTTAAACCACAAAGAGTTGTGGATCCATCGAGGGTCACACTGCTCGTGCACTTGAGTTCTTTGAATAAACGGTCAAAGATAAAAATGTTTAATCTTTGCATAATAGGAAGTCAATACGATTGAGTCCAACATTCTTAATTGAGAATTATGAATGGCAATAAGAAAAAGGAAAAAACTAGGCGAACATCTTAGTAAACTTATTAAATTGGGAAGTTTCCAAATTTTGCAGGTCCACTGAATTAGGGTTTCCAGTTTTAGAAATTGGAAATCGAGAATTGACATTTGTAATGACGAGGACGTTTTAATGATTCCAAAAATATAATTGTTATAATTTTCTAATCATTGGTTTATGAGAAACGAGCGAAGAAAGACGAACGAACTTAAGTTGTTGGGCTCGGTCCAACTTAAGCCCGTTAGGGCTTATATACAAGACACTTTAAATACAAGATTTATAGGTCTTGTACAAGAGAGAGAGACACACATAAGAAACCCTAGCCGCTCACACATACGTCCGCTGCCAATCACCACCGCCGCCGTCGCCCGTAACTGGAAATCGGCTCCCACGCGCTGCTACTCCTCGGTAGCTTTATTCGTTTTCTTTTATTCTCCCGTTTAATTTAACTTTTGCGTGTCTAGTTTGCTTCAATCCGAGAATTCGCCTCACGCTTCAAGAGGTATTTTTCGGATCCGTTTTAATTAGGTTTTAATTTAATATGATTAAATTAATTATTGATATTTGCAGTATGGTTTTTCATGATTTTCAATATGTAATTGTTGATGTATGATTCGTTATTTACTGCAAGCATCGGTAAAATTCGTGATTTACTGCAAGCATGCTACCTAATCCAACATATTTTTTGCTTGATTTTCTCCAACTTTTTGTCCTAAACAATTGAAGAAATTCAATGAAAATCTTCAAATTTCATTTCTATAAAAAGAAGAAAAAGGGAAAAAAGAGTTGAAGTACAAGAACAGATGACGCAGAACGGATGACGCACATGGCTAGCATCCATGTCTATCGCGTCGTATGTCACCTCATTGACATAGTAGTTCATTCAAATCGAGATAGGCACACAACACACCTCTGTCACTTTAA